TTCCACAGCCACTTTGACAATGTTATGATGCAATTTATCATCAATAAGAGGACAGACGCATAAAGAGCGGACGTCAACTTGTTAAATTGAAAATCATCATGAAGGAAATTTCAGTTAGAGTCATACTAAAACATTGTTAATCATGTTCCAATTTAGAATAATTTGATTACCTCTTCCTTTAGAACCTCTAAATGTTTGCAATTACAGTTTGTCTGCATTTGACTTATAGTCATGTTAAATCTGTCATTCTGACATGGAAGAAACAAATCCAAATTAATTTCTTCAACAGTATGCACAAAAACCTTTGAACATGCACGCAAATTCTCGATGCTTTACTATTGAACTTCAAACTGCAGTTGAACCCCGCTATTTTAACTTCTAGCTAACTCTCAGGAAAACAAAAAATAAATCGATACAGCGGAAGTAAATTACTAAAAGACAAATCCACGGAAAATTGTTTTGAGTTCGTAGTAAAGGGAAATTCGAAATAACCGAGTTCAAATCAACATAAGCTGCGATCTGGCCCAATACCGTACGCGTCTGACTGCAGATTAAAATTAGCTGGGTCCAACTGTATTAGGTATTCACAACTAAGTTTGGCACAGGATTATTTTGATAACTTGTCGACAGTACTATGGTAGAATGTAGAACCTGAGTCTTTTCAGCCCAATGATCGAATGCTTTTAGGGACATATTTGAAAGTAAACGATGAGCATGTATTATTGCATGGCTCAGTACAGTAGAAGATCTTTGGCATACTGTATGGTTGTCTGTATGTTTTAATCTGGACTATTGGAAAAGATAACAAAACACTATGAAATGAAACGATTAGAAATGGTAACTAAAGAACATCTCCAGGTTCAAAAAATGAATTAAGATTGTCCAGCCTAATTCCAAAAATTTGAAGTTCTGAAAGAAAAAGAGCGTATCTGCGATATTTTTTTCAAGTTTATGTTTAATTTCTACACTAGTTCAAAGTAGACGTACTTGGGTGGTATCCATACACATCAATTCATCGGCCACGTTCTTCAACTCTGCTTTTACTAAAGCCCCAGCTAATTTTTCGACGGTAGCGTTCCGTCCCTCCCGACCCCTCCAGCAAACGAGGACTTCGATACAGCACTCCTTGGTAGAGCCGCCTTGATCCTTTTGGATCCTATTAATGTTGGCTTGGCTGTAGTCTAAGGCTCGTGCCAGGTCTCTCCACTTGCCTCCAATCTTTTCTGGCAGCTGGTAATCGTGGATGTCTTTCTCCGTCAGCTGATGACTCGGGTCCAGGCCCATTTGGATTGGATCCTGATCTGTAACACAACAGTAGCATTAATGAAAGCTACCGTTATGCAGCTAAAAAGGTTCGATGGAACAACTCAGCTTTTCAAACAGGAAAATAAAACGGAACGCCTAAAAAATGTTCTCTATTTGAAAACAGGGCTATCGCAAATGTAACCGTGTTTATCTCGTGTTTACAATAAAAAATAAAATAAATGAATAAACGTTTTTATCTCGAAAAAAAGTCGGCAACGGATCTATTCGCGTGGGTTCGTTGCCATTCGGTTTCCCTCGGGATCCCCTCGAGTGCTCTGTCAGCCCAGTACAAACTAAAAGAGTTGCAGCAGGCTTATTATGTAAGGTTACTATTTTTCGAAGGCTCAATTTGGCGAATTAATGATTCAAGTTAATTAACCTAACAATCAGTGTTTTTTATTGAGATCACCAAAATCAATCGAACCATCAAAGGAAACGCAATCGCTATCTTATTTAGCTCCCGTCTAAGAATGTAGTAACCTTTTATTGAACATGCATCTGGTGTCACGCTTTATGCGT